GTCTGACGCGTCTGCCTCCGCGACCCAAAAGGAGAAGCGGCGATGGAAGATGAAGATGAAGATGAAGATGTTCAACAAGGGGTTCACCCCTTGTGCTTCGGTAAACCTGCCAAACAGCGGCTAGCAAGGCGAATAATACCGACAGCATGTGCTTTAGTGTGGTCATGCCAAAGCTTACGAAGACGTCCATGCCATCTGATGCGTCTTCTTTACAGCCGCAATTCGCCTTGACCCATGGGATAGGTGACAAAGATCTGCGCATCGTGGAAACATAAATTCATATATAAAGTTAGTTAACTAAATTTCGCTGATTGTGCCAGTGACGCTTGCCAACCGTGTTCTGAGCCTGAGTCACCGGGGGGTTTGATACTTGGCGATTATTAGCTACCCGATCCTTCAAAGTTATGACAGTCCATCACTCGGTTTATATAATCGGACGGAAGCTTAAGCTGGCGCAACAGTAGTAAGAGGTAGGCTCTAAACTCGACATGTGCGGATTCGAATCATGAATAAAAGTCTTTTGGTTTCTACTTCCCTTAAACAACCGATTCATTCCAAGTTGGTTCACTCCAGTCGAGAAAGTAGTACTGATATCAAGTCGAAGACAGCAGTTAAGATCTTGCATAACAGTTCCGAGGTGCGCATTGTTCCAGTCGTAAACACGTTCGGAAACCGTTGACGCGTTCCTACTGACTCTTATTTGAGTTGCGTTTGTGTGTTCTTGGCATCATCAAATTGGGTTGTTTGCGTACACAGAAAATGAGCATCAGACAATGAGTCAATAGCTTGTGTTAGTACTGTATGGCATTTGAGTTATATCGGGAATAACAACTAACAACGTCAGCTGGAATGATCACGTTGCTGGTGTATTATGAAAGGATCGTTCTCTTTGTTAAGTCAGCTGAGATTTCAGCAACCCTCCTTCTACTGAGGCAGTTGAGTGACTCATTGTTTTCGGTTGTTTAGTTTTATTCATTAACTACGCTGGTTCAGTCTCTTTGTTGTTGGTGTACGCAGGAAGCAGTACAGTGTCCTGAAACGCGGAGGGTTACTTATGTCAGGCATAAATAAACTTTGTCATGAAGAACTTATTTACCGAATCATTGGATCATCCGTCCGAATGGCGAGCAGTGTTACCTGATCGATCCGTCATTGTACGAATAATGGGCATCCGGCGCCGGCAAAGTTTTCAAAGGGTTCGTCGTTGCACTGGGGAACCAGCAATACGTACAATTCCCTGGCATCAGAAGTTCAACTTTACGGCTCTGCCGTTTCTTTCCAGGATTCTGTGAGGTGGGAAGGACAGAGAACACTCATTTTAAACACGATTAACATATAGTCTTAACTATGCACGTAGGCATGTTCGCTGTATTTGAAAACAGTCGTTTTTGCCGTTAATAACTATGTCCACAAGGTAATAAAAGTTGAGTGATTGATTGACTGATTGAACGTCTCCGGTTTGTGATGCCGTTTAAACAATCTTGCCATAAGGCACTCGTTTGCTACCTTTTAGAAGGAAATATTCTTCGTCGAAAACAGATCCTCCTATTGTTTGTTCCTCTGTGCCTCCTGATCGACATCTGTCGCGTATCATGCGCCATGCGAGAAGAACCTGATGGACTGGAGTATATATGACTTATGCTGGACCATCCTGTCTAATGGCACAATTGTCACTTCCTTAATCACCATATCAGAAGTGGTCACATGTGCCCAGAAGAGAATAGAGTCATTCCTAACATGGTCCTATCATTTAGCCTTCATTTTGCGTCGAAGTAAACGCTGCTGCATGCAGTTCAACGGTTGTACTCTGTCTTTCGTTAGAACACCGCCTCCATGCCTTACAATAACATGGGGATGAGCTCTGCAATAAGCATTGTGTTGGCTGGTCTCACATCACTTTAACGTCTAGAGCCATACGTTGCTTTTCTTCCTTGTCATTTCAGTTGCCGGTAACTCATTTTGTGCTTTCTTAATACAGTCAACACATGGCATCATAAGCTATAGCATGTTAAAGCTGAACATTACCGGGTACCCAATTTCACCTGGTGTTTTCTGGTGTATGAGTCCATCACCGTCGGCTCCCTTAAGCCTCAGAGTTATTAAAGTAGACTTAAGCTCAACGAGGGTCGGCGTTCCGTGACAACGGTATGTCGACTGATATTAACGATGAGGTCGAATCTCGGTTGATTTCAAACGATTTGTCACGGAACGGCTCGTTTGGGCACATGTGTCTTTATCGAACGGCAGTTTCGCTTCGCAGTAACCGCTGTCTCCACGTTGCCTCGAACGCACGCTGCACACCACGCGTCTATTCGGCCGTAAACTCTTCACGGCGTTGACTAAAAACTGCCAAAATCAGTTGTTTGCCAACGAAGTATCGAACTTTTACCGTCCTTGTCAACCGCACGGTTACGAAACTGTGCTGCAGAAACTCGCCAGGGGCCACCTTGTAGTTCGTTGCACTCCT